TTCTGCCCAGTGTTTGTCCCTATGGGCACCCACCCCTGGCTGCTGCTCCATCCCCACTGCACCCTGGGAGCGTGAACGGTCCAGGCAGGTCTCCCCTTCCTGCAAAAAAAAATCCCCCAAGTCTCATCCCAGGGTGCAGGGGGTGATGGGTGCTGGGTGCCCCCTGAAAGCCTCCCCACCCTGGTGTGCCCAGGTCCATCACCAGGTCCTTCTACCGGAGCGCGGCCGGCGTGTTGCTGGTGTTTGACCTGACCAACCGGGCGTCCTTCGAGCACGTCCCCGAGTGGTACCGCGAAGCTGCTGGGGACCGCGACCCCCGACCTTCGTCCTGGTGGGACACAAGAGTGACCTGGCAGCCGACAGAGCCGTGTCGGCAGAGGAGGCCGGGCAACTGGCAGCCACCCTGGGCATGGCCTTCGTGGAGACCTCAGCCCACAGCAACCTCAACGTGGAGTTGGCCTTCCAGATGCTGGCGGGGGGCATCCAGCGGGCACTGGGGCAGGGGAAACTCGTCCCTCACCAGGGATGTGACGGTGTCAGGCTCATCCCCAGCCAGAGCCACCGCCAGCCCCCGGCACGGGGAGAGCCCCGGGAGCGGTGCCAGTGCTGATGGGGACAGGGGGGACATGGGACCTGTCCTTGGGTGATGGGTGGGGCTGTGTCCCCATCTGCGCTGGGGTTTATTTCAAGGCTTAATGTGGGGGCTCTGAAAAAATAACACCCCCGGGCTGGAGTGGTTTCAATAAATCTGAGGCTTTTTCCTCACTAAAGGCTGTGCCGAGCGTTGGCCACCTGGCAGGGACACACTGATGTGCTTGACCCATGACATGGGGGATGCTCTGCTTTGGGGGGTCCTGGAGAAAAGGAGGCTGAGGGAAGACCTTCTGGCTCTGTCCAAGTCCCTGCAAGGAGGGTGGAGAGAGGTGGGGGTGGGTCTGTTCAACCAAGGACCAAGGGACAGGACAAGAGGAAATGGGCTCCAGTTGTGGCCAGGGCAGTTGAGATGGGATGTGAGGAAGAATTTCTTTGCTGAAAGGGTTCTGAGGCATTGGAAGGGGTTGCCCAGGGCAGTGGTGGAGTCCCCATCCCTGGAGGGATTGAAGAGTCGTGTAGACATAGTGCTGAGGGACATGGGTTAGTCGGGGACTGGTCAGTGTTGGGTTCATGGTTGGACTGGATGAGCTTAAAGGGCTTTTCCAATCGAGGTGATTCTGGGATTCTGTGTAAACCCCACATCTGCACGCAGCCGTGTCACTCCATGTCCCTCCTGTCCCAGGGCCACCCCTTGTGAAAGTGGGACCAGGCACCCCCTGAGTGCTCCCAGCTGGATGGAGCCAAGATAAAGGGAGCAGAGGGGCTCCGAAGGGACCACCCAGCACCCATCCGGGATGGGAACGCCTCCTGGGTGGAGGAGCGGAGGCGCCCAGTGGTA